CTAACAAGTCTGTCTTTTGCCCATAACCGTAATGGGTGAGTCATCCCTCTCTGTCCTTATCTTGATTTCCGAGCCTTTTGCTTTATTTTCTCCTTCTCAGTGCTGGAGAGAAAGGGGGAGGTGAGCAGCTGCATGGTGCTCAGTTGCCCTCTGAACTCAAACCACAACACTTAGTTTTTGTGTATTTCACTCTGTACAAAAAACAGTAGCACTACTGTCAACTTTTGCTTAAAGTTCGTGCCAAATCAGTACCTAGTTTAGTATGCCATCCAAGGTCTCAAAAGCTACAGAATCTTCTCATTCACCTCCTTTTGACTCTGGCCCAGGGCCTGGTGGAGGAGGCAGTTTGACTAAAGAAATTCCAGCAACTTCAGAGATTATTTCTGATCCATCACTGTGGTAGGATTTCTTGAGGATCAGGGACATGCACTGATTCTACAGGGTTTGGACAATCCAGGCTGGGCCTCAGAGCAGAAAACTGCCACGTGATAATCTTGTCTTTGAGGTCACCTTGAAAGGCAAGAATGAGGAAGTCACGCTAGTGCTTCCTTCCTGTTGAACGCCCAGATACACAAACGGCAAAGTAGGTTTAGTTTGTATACGCGTACTAACGATGCAGACCTATCAGACAGCACTTCCAGGGGCGTGATAAGTGCCTTTAGCCAACAGATTGTAAAGCATAGAGCGCGTGACCATCTGGCTCTGTATATCTTGGCGCTATTCGGGCGAATAAATGAGAACGACTTTCATTGCATCAGTGTGGTGTCGTTACTCGGGTCTTGCCTCTGTACGGGACCCTCCTAAACATCACTCTGTCACATCTCCATACCTGCAGCCCATAGCAGCCAGCACTACCTTTTGTACTTTTTGTGTACTTTGTACATATTTGTGCACTGATTGCTGCCTGGTAGTGTGCTCAGTGTTGTCCCACTCCAGTTCCCTGGCTTTGTATTTTTGACACTTCAACCTTTTCTAGACCAATTATATTGGTGCTACAACACAGCATTGTAATAGGAGTTGGTTACACCCTTAACCACAAAAAATCTACTGCCTCTTCATATTCTTATATAGATGTAGACTGCCTTTGATTCTTTGCTAAAGAACGTCCTCTCTAAGTTACATATTGTTTGGCATGCAGGATCCTTTGAACATATCTCCATAAAAAAATATTCTTACTTTGCTTCCAAATCAAATGAATTATATATGCTTAACACAGATGATGTAGCCATGGTGTAAAATGGCTGCTTGTGAAGTACGTCAGATATCATTCCAGAATATTACCAGATTTAAATCTGCTGTTTTATGTTTTCAGTTTTTACAAGTTTTCTTCGTAAGTTTATATATAGGATACAAATAAGTGTGTTATTGAAATGCTTCATCCATAAAGCCATGTGACAATAAATCAAATGCTTTACTGAAGTCTAATTAAATTACATCAGTATCTGAAACCTGCAGCCTCATTAAGAAAATGTTGTGGTTTAGGCCTGATTGGCAGCCAACCACAATGCAGCAGCTTTCTCTCCCTTCCCCTCCGGCAATGAGAAGGGACAGAGAGCCAGGCTTGGGGTTCGAGATAGGACTGGGATGGGGAAAAATTCCCCTTTATGATCACGAGCAAGAGGCAGACTTGTTAGGGGAAGAAAAAAAGAACATACATTTATTACAGACACTAACAACACATAACAGAGTAGGACAGTGAGAAGCATTGCCACATCTTGAGAACACCTTCCCCCCCCCCCCCTCCCCCTTCTTCCCGGGCTCAGTTCTGCTCCCGATATCTCTACCTCCTCCCCCCAGCGGCGCAGGGGCAGGGAATGGGGGGTGCAGTCAGTGATGCCGCTGCTTCCACCTGCAGTGGGGGGAGATCCTGGAACTTCTTCCCCCTGCTCCATCGTGGTCCCCCTCTCACAGGAGACAGCCCTCCACAAACTTTCTCCAACATGAGTCCCTCCCATGGGCCGCAGCATTCCCCACACTGCTCCATCATGGGTCACCAACTTTCTCCGACTGGATTCCCTCCCACGGCTGCAGCCCTTCCCGAGCTGCTCCGGCGTGGGACTCCCCCGCATGCTGCAATCCTCCCAGCGCTGAATTACAGCAGTGGGGCTGCCTTTTCCCATGAGACCCCAGCCTTCTTTGGGCACAGAACCTTGATTATCAGAGCAGGAGCCACAGGCCATAAATCAATGTCTGCTCCACCGTAGATCTCCATGGGTGGCAGGGGGGGGCCGCCCTGCCGTCTCACCACAGGATACAGGAGGGTCTCTGCTCCGGCACACCTCCCCCCTCCTTTCTTCCTCCGTTCCTCCACTGACCTTGGTGTTCATGCAGCTGCAGCAACTCCTCCTCACAAGTCCCACTGCCCGTCACCACGTCCCTTCTTAAATACGTTATCGCAGAGGCGCAGCTGATGGGCTCAATTTCCCAAACAGAAGTGGAGCTGGCTTGGAGCTGGGGGAGCTTCGAGAAGCTTCTCACAGGGGGCCGCCCCGATAGCCCCCTCCCCTGCCACCAAAAAACTCCATCATTCACTCAACCCAGGACAGAAAACAAAGTCCGTTTGCCAGGATCTATTTTTCTGCCAGGATATATATATTTTTTAAGCAAAAGCCCATGTTAATTGGAATTAGTTGTTATCTTTTAAATTCTTTGTTAACCGAGTTTTATATTGGCTATTCCGTATTTTGCCTGTAACCAATGTCACACTGATAAATTACTATTACCCCATTTATTCTTTTAAAGTATGTTCATTCAAAACTCTCTAATGCCAGTTTTAGTAACTGAAATTGAACCCTCCTCCTCCATTATTATTTTAATAGAGAACAACTCTTCAATATCATACAGCATAACTGCATCAGCTGCCATCTTCCCAAATGCTCAGACGGAATATATATATGTTTTAACATTCAAAGTTTGTCAGTAATTATGGTTAAAGCTGACATCTTTATCCCTTAATAGAGTCTTCTTGCCATTCAGATCATTTTCTCTATTCCGTACTTGCAAAAAACTTCCATTTTCCTCCTTTTAACTCTGTTGACCATATGTGTATTTCCCTTGTAAACTTTTACTTCCCATAGTAATTTTCAATTCCTAGCTTCCAGTGTACGTGTATGATACCACATTCCTTCTTCCGTTTCATAGATGTTTTCCTTGTAAACCACCCTGGCTTTTCAGCAAATGTATTCCTTAGTTGTGAGATTATGACTTTGTGGGTATCCAGGCTAACATCCTTGAATGGTTTCCAATTATCTTTCTCCCATTTCAGATTAAGTTCTTTCTCCCAACAGATTTACCTTATAATAGTATTCACCTTTATAAAATTAGCACTTTCAAAGCATTAATTGTCTATATTATTGGTTTGGACTTAATTCTGTTTGCACATAACAAATGTGATCATTACCCGTTATACCTAAGGTATGGCTAATTTTTAGTTCTGTGATCAATTCCTTTTCATCTGACAAGATGAGGTGTCATATATAATTCCCCTGTGCTGGATGCAACACTTTTTGAGTTAGGAAATTGACATTTAAAATATTTTGAAATTCCAAGTGCATTTTAACACTGGCAGCATGAGACCTCCATCATATGTCACTCAGATTGAAATTCACTGCGGTACAGCAGTGTTTTCCCTATATGTTGTAGGTGGGTAAAGCATAGGTCATGCTGTTCTCTAGTGTGATTTGATAGCAGCTAAGTACCCTGTCAACTTCTGACTTATCCATTAGAACACTGACCCATAAACATTCAAGATCATTTGCTTATGATTACCATCAACTTAGAACAGGTAATGCCATTTTTTAAGTGCTTTCTATCCTCTTGATCCTTCCAAAATAGATTATAACAATTGATTTTGACATTCCAGTTTTTCAACCAGTTTTAGCAATGAAAATTAGGTCAAATCTGTGCTAAAAAATGACCTCTTATGCTGGTGTCAAGCTTCCAACAGTATAAGAGAGGGTACTGAAAAATCTCTGCTCTTTGTATTTTTTAGCATCCTGATGATGGTTTCTTTTTGTTTTCATTTGCACTTACCAAAAGTTCATTGGTTCCTTCTCACTCTATTTCTTATAAGCTCCTAGACTCCATAGCCGATCAGTCCCTTAAAACAGTTCATTACAGTAAACTATGCAGCAGGATCCCATCAACTGAAAGTGTAAAAATTTTCCACAAACCAACAGCCTTCATGTTATGTCACTTACTTAGAGATTAAGCCTAGTCTTTTCTGCTTGCTCTTTTCCATGGCTCAGAAGTCCTGAGGGACGGCGGAGATGAGGTCCTGTAAGAAAAAAGCCTGCTCACTGCAAGTGTCCGTCTATAAGAGACTGCCCACAGTATTAAATATAATATATATATATATAAAATAAAAGAGACTGTCCTGTAAGTATCGATATTGTCACTAATTCTTTGCCTGCCAACTTTTGAAACTTCCTTAGCTTTGAGAGGTGCTCCCATTTGAGAGAATCTCATTTGGAGCTCATCACAAACACTCTCCATTAGCTGGAGGACCCGTTAATGCCGAGCCCCTCGAGCTGTTGCTGATCTCTCACAGCTCCCACGTTTTTCATGATTCTGAATCGGACTTTGCGGCTCACCCGGCCCGCGGGCCTCTGCCAGAAGGGAATGGCGGGGCTCGTCCCTCACGCCTCGGCGGGAACGGCGGGGCTCGTCCCTCACGCCTCGGCGGGAACGGCGGGGCTCGTCCCTCACGCCTCGGCGGGAACGGCGGGGCTCGTCCCTCACGCCTCGGCGGGAACGCCGGGGCTCGTCCCTCACGCCTCGGCGGGAACGCCGGGGCTCGTCCCTCACGCCTCGGCGACCGGCCGCCTCACATCGAGACCGGGGGCGGTGGTGCCTCACCCCGGGGCGGCCTCAAGCGGGCGGCGGGGCCTGGGGAATGCGGCGGGGCGGGAGGCCGGCCCTCAGCGCCGCCCGCCCCCGTCGCCATGGCGAGGCGGCGGGCGCCCGGCGGAGCGGCGCGGCTGCAAGGCGGCGCGGCTGCAAGGCGGCGCGGGGGGCCGGGGTGGGCCGCGCCGCGGCCGTCGGCGGCCCCTTCTGCTCCCGCCTCGGGGGGCGGCGGCGCGGGGGGAGTAACGGCGGAGACCTCATCCCGCAGCGCGCCATGAGAAGAGGTCCGTTCCCCTGGAAAGTTCAACTCTGTTTATTTTAAGAGTCTGAGACAGTACCAGAGCCAAGGGTTGGGGGTATGTAGAGTATGGGGGTGGTTAACAGGTGAAGGGAAAAAAAAAAAAAAAGTGCCTGGCTGGTGGCCAGCGAAGGGCGGTTGGCTTCCCTCCGGGGGCTGGCTAGCCGCAAGGCCAGAGGAGGTTCGGGGTGTGGGCTGAGTGCTGCAAAATCAAGTGCTGGCTGGGGCTGTGACCTCATCCAGGTTACTTGGAACAAATTACATCTATCGTGCTGGCTATAGATTTTAAAAATTTATTGGGTTGGGGGATCAATCATATCAGTACTTTTAGTGTAATAAAGGAGCGTGGCTGTAAGCCTGTCTTGTCACACACTGACATCTTCCTTTCTTTTATGAGGCGCTGGGTAGCAGCAAAAACGTCCACAAAGGCATCTGGATGTACCCTTGCCTACTTCCGAGGCTGCTTCCCTGCCTGGGAAATCCTTACCCTCCAGTTAGGTTTATGCATGCCTCAGAAAATGAGTGGGAAGGGCCAAGTGATGGTGAACAGGTTTCCTAAAACTGTGCTGGGAAAGGCCGTTGCAGTCATGCACACTGGATTGATTCCAGCCCATGGGGGGATTCCCTTCATCATGTGGTTAAATACAGCACTTCTTTAGAAACAAATTGCACTGCCTTGTGTTTTGCTGATTTCTGTGGGTGTTTAATTAAGTAATTGAGATGTGGCTTGGGCATTATAATAAAGGAGTAAGATGTAAAGGGGTTAGAAGTCTTTAAATGATCAACAAAATTTATGTGAATGTAATAGCATGTGTTTCAGAAGGGTGTGTTGCTGATACCTTCTGTCATGTGTCTCTTTGGTTGTAATCTGCCTGTGAAGATTACAGTTAGCTTGAAAATGAGGGAAAACCACCATCCACTTCACTGTGAAAGCAACCTCCCACCTCTAATATAAAAATTAAATTTACAGTATTATGAAGCAGATTTTTTTTTTTTTTTTTAATGTCTGCATATGTGTCTCATGTTAGTGTGAGACCTGTGTGTATGCCATCCTGTCTCATCATATACTTGATTTTTGTGGGCTGTGAACCTGGAGCATGTGGGCCAGCAAGGAGCTAGTGTTTGCTATAACCAGGTCTCATGTGCATTCAGCCTGGAGCCTGAGACCTGTGGCTCATGCCACAAAGTACACCTACCTGTCAATAGCTTTTCATGGTTGCAGGGGCTCTACCAGGGCTTTCAGAGTCTTCTTTTAGCTGCTCACACCTGCCTTTTCTGTACTATAGCTGCACATGGTCACCTCTCCTGCCTTACTAAATTCAACAGCTGCCATTAAGACATGGTCTGTTTGCTTTGTCTCACCTAATACCTCAAAACTAAGAGGCTTGTAGAAAACTTTGGATCTTCTCTGCACTTCAGTATTGTTGTTCCAAAGTTTAATTACTATTCCTCACCAAATAGCATCTTCCTAAAAAGTGATTTTCCTTTCTCTATTGCTTCAGGATACAAACTTGTCATTCTCTATAAGTAGTATAATCTTTTATAGTGATGAATTACCCATATGGGTTTTTTCTATTGATTTTTTTTTCCATGACACGCTTGGTGTAATGTTGCTGCCTCCAATTGTAGATTACTTTATTTATAAATAATTTTTTTTTCTTTCAGTAACAAATGTTATCAATTCTACTAAGCCCTAAAAGAATTACTTAGGGGAAATATCATATCCTGTCATCTTTTCAACCTATAATTGTCTTTGTTATTCCATTCTAAGTAACACCAAAAATTACTTCACTATAACTGTAGCAAAATATTGGATCAATGAAATGGCTTTTGATCCCAAAAAGACTAATATATAAACCATCTGCTAGTCTGATGCTGATCATTCCGTGTCAATTTGATTAATATCTAGCATTTATTTCCCATAAAATAAATTTCCTTTCACTAAATGTTGCAAATAGTTAAATTCTTTCCCCTCCACACCCCTCCCCTCCATTATACTCTGTTTTCCCATTCCTATTAAAAGTTTGTGCCTTGAGGCCTACCAGCAGGGCATGCAATAACTACATTAAACCAAATTTAAAAGTAAGGGTGCTCCTGCTGCTAACGTCCTCAGATCACAGACATGCAAAATGAAGAAACTGGCAGCTGAAACTTTAATGGTAAGAAATGTAGACTGAATACTTGGGGAAAAAACATAGTAACTCTATATGACAAAAAAGTCCTATTAGCATTATGTACTTCAGAATGATGAGATAGACAATTCCACATAAGTGTGGGCTTTCGTCTTTTAAGTAAAATCCTGTGTTGTAATTATAGCATTACTTACATTTTTTATTCAAAGGATTGTTACTATTACAATTATGTATGATTTTGAATGTTAATACAGTGCCTGTTGTTGCACTGCACACTGCGTGTTCAATCATTTCTCCACCTTATGTATCAACTTAAAATATTAATACTTGGACCTAGATAACTTGAGAAAGCACAGGGAATCAATCACCTACAAGTAAGGTTCCTGAATCAGTTGTCCCTGTGCAAATCAAAAGGACTCCAATGAAAGAGAGAAAACCATTGAAAGTAAAGTCATGACCATTTCTGTGCATTATGGTCTGCTGAAGTAACGCTGAGGCCTGAAAAGATTTGTGTGGCAATGGAGTCTGGTTTTATATGTAATGCACTGGAAATAAAAGAGAGTTGTCTGGGAAGCAGCACAAGAAAGATAAGAAAGTGCATCACTGTGAGGGCATTGTTTCAAGTAAGGTTGGTTTTGTTTGTTTATTTTAGTTAAAATGAATGTGTTGCCTCAAGCAATCCTACAAAGCCCAGGGGAGCATCCCAGGTTCATAGAGCAGACTGTTTGCCCCTCATTAGACTTTGCAAGGTATGTATCTCTTTTCTTTCAGAGTATCATTTTTACTGTGAATAGCTTTGATCAATGATGCGAGGTGACAAATTATGTTTGCTTTTTTGCAATATTTAAAACTGAAAAAGTCAGAGGCAAGAAAATTCTCACTTAGGAAAGTTTCATATTTAAAAGGGAAAAAAAAAAAAAAAAACCAAAACAGAAACCAAAAAAAACCCAAACCAAAATAGGGAATGTGTTCTGTATAAGGTAGATATTTCATCCCATTTTTTCAAAACCCCTTCAAGAGGCATAGGAAGTTACTTCCATTTAGCATTGATATGAATGTAGGTCATTGAAAATGTACTTATTTGAATGAAAAAACAAGATTTTACTTTTTTCTTTCAGGCACAAAACAGTTTTGTACCCCTCAAATTATAATGAATAAAACTGGCTTGCAGAACATTATTGTGTACTTAATAACTGAGAGAGTTAACATGCCATAATACTTGCAAGCCATTTTCTTCTTGCACATGCCTATATGGCTTTCCATTCTGTTACACTCATTCCTCCTCTTAGTCACTGGTATCCATATGTTTTTGTCTCCCTCAGTGAGTACTGGTCTCTCAGTAGCTATTCTGCCCCACTATGTTCTTTTTCCTGGAATTGCCTCCATTTCAGAAAAAAAAAATTTGGTTATTTTCTTCTTTCTCCTACTTTTTTTTTTTTTTTTTCCAATCCTGCATTCCTGTTAGCCTTTGCCTGAAAGGACTGGGGCATCTCAGAGTTCAGCAGCTGCATGTCCCTGCCTAAAAGCAGCAAGGATCTAGAAACATGGTATCCTTGGGCCTGGTCTTTCTGAGTGGCTCATACTGAGAGATGTCCTCTCACATAATGCTAAAATAAGGACATACAGTCATGTCTTACAATTTTACTATTTTTAAAAAATCTTTGATGGCTGGAGCCATTTTCTACAGCCATCACTTTTCCCAGTAACTACACTGCTGGAGAGCTCACAACAGAGGTAGGAGGCTTGTTTCTTCCCTGTACTTGGGAAGTTACATGTTCAAGATCATTCTGCAGCTGTCCTGTAGAAGTTGTGCCTGTTTGCAGCAAAGAAATGTGTGATTCTGTAATGTTTTAGACCATGCTGTAGATACCTAGTGATGAGAGCAAGACAAGTTCTGCCATTTTCTTTGTTTGGAAATGTTGAGAAAACTTGAGTCTGAGTTAACGGAATAGGCAGTGGGGATAGAAAGTTATGTGAGAATCGGTTTGGTCCTTTATGCAAATTTGTTCTGTGCTTTGCTTAAAAAGCCAGGTGTATTTATCATTAAGTTTATTTCTAGAAAAAAATCAGTAGCTATTTTTTTGCTGTGTAGACTGGTATCAGAAATAATTATAGGAATGCATGATTTAAAATGTTAACTCTGAAATAGTTGTCCATTGGATTAAAATATATTTGTCTTTAATAAGTGAGAGATTTAAAATTAAAGAGGAACCAATTTACAGGTGAAGTAGATTTTTTATAAACTATTTATGAAATATGGTGAGTCATGGAAACACTGGAGAAATAAGGTTAAAACAGTTTGGAAAAAAAGCAAGTGAAAACTTCTGGAAGAAAAGAAACAATGTGTCTTAGCTAGTGCCATCCTCACCTTATTTCTCCATTAAGAAACAATATCCGTTCCAAGTCACAGTCTCAGTTCTTCACATTAATTACTTTTTTTTATTTTCAATTCTCATTGCATATAACAAGCCATTTTAAATAATAATTGAGTTGATGGAATTTTCTACTGTGTATTTTTTCCTATGTATCATCTGCCTGTCTGTTCTGTGTTATCTCTACATTAACATAACTGATAATAACAGCCAGGATGAGAGAAGTATTTATTATTTTTAGTAACCTAAATTCTTTAAGATGGATGACCGTGTCTGTAGTTGCATCGGTCCAATACTGGGCATTACAGACCTTATGTAAACAGTAATTGGTTTGCGAGTTGTTGGTTTTTCTTTTTTCCCCTTGGCTGTAGTTGTCTTTAAATTAGAGGGTGTTACCAATCAGAACTCAGAAATTTATACCTTGACTATAAGGCAGGTGACATTTTAAACTGTGTATATGATTTGAGGGGCTTTTCCCCTGATTGTTTTTTATTAAAATACCTTTGAGAAGATAATGAGAAGGCATCAGGTGTTCATTTGTTCCAGTTTGAGATGATTTTTAACTGCTGTGTAGATTAAATTGCAGCAAGCTGATAGTGATGCCTAGGAATTTGGTTGTTGTAGTTGACAGTTTGAGGCTTTGCACTCCTCCCCACCTCGTCCCCTTATAGTTGGTGTGTTCTATATGTGCTACTGGTGTGCAGAAAGCTCATTTTTGCAGTCTTAAAGTACAAAGGTCATCTAGGGTTCTTTCTGTTGTCTACTGAATATATTTAATTAGCCAGAGATCCTATTTTTCAATTTTCCTATTACCTTATATAACCCTATTGTATCTATTGTATCTTGAAATATGTTTTACATCAGTTTAAAATATACAATAATTACTTTATCTTCATTATCCTAATGACAATATGTATCTTCCTAAATTGTGACTATTTTGGTGTGAAATTTTTGATATTTATGAAATTTTGGTATTGATTATAACTGAATTTTTATGACAATATCCATAAGTTGTACATTTTTCATGGTCAGCAGTAACTCATACGGATTGTGTTACGTGCAGCCTGCAAGCATAAGCTTCTGTTGGTGCAGATCAGTAGTAGTAAATTCTGGAACAAATGCTCTATCTGTGTCGGAAGTTTTCACTATTACATTGTTTTAAATACAGATGTGTCAAAATATCTCTACATTGTTTAGCTAGTTTGTTTTCATTTAAACGAACTTCATGAAGTGTCTTTGGTATTCTCAGAGTAATAAGGAGCATGACGCTTGTATTAGCTAACATTATGAAAAGAATTTACTCTCATCCCTGTAATGAAAGACAGCAGTGTAATACAGACAGAGAAAGAGGAAAGTAATAGATTTATGTGGAGCACTAATGTTGAATTTCTTTTATCTTTGAGTGATTAACCAGACAATCTTTATGCTCTTTTAAAGAAGAGTAAAAATAAATTCACATTACTTTTATAAAGGTAATACCCTCAACAGTTAGGATATCAGAATCTATTTAAATACACTTTACGGTCAGTAAGTACATATTATTCTTTAAAATTCAAGGCATGTCTTGTGTATCAGAGTGGAGATGCAAAGAGATGATGGCTCAAGCGAAAGGTGAGATGATACACAGTTCAAATTTTAAAATTAGATCCATGCATCCTGAAATTTTCTGTTTATTTTAATGTCCTTTCGATTACCCCCTTAGTGGATCACCTTTTGTAATATACTGCTCAAACTGTGGAAAGCTGAGAGCAGTATAAAAAATCTGCATTGCTCTAAGGAAAACATTTTGAGTTGGCTTTGGGATTTTTTTTTTGTTGATTTTCTTGTTTTTAATTTTGAAAAAAATAAGTGCAAAATAGATTGAAACATTCTGGTCCATACCGATAATGCAAAAATGTAATGGTTTTGGTTTAGAAAACAGTTTAAATATGGATAGCTTAAGCAATTATTATTGATTTAGCTAATACACAATTTCTTCTAGTTTAGACAGAAATATCAGATAACCAGGTCCTTGAAAGCTAACACCAACTCTGTGTTCTTTAAGAAATAAAGATTTGAAATAGCTACAGACCAAAAATTAAAAAAATATTTGTATGTGTTTATAGAATGTCTGATATATTACTTTGTCAATATTTCAGTTTTTAGCTCTTCTTGGCAGTGCTAATATATTATATATGCTGCAGAAGTCTATGTTAGCACCTCACAGTGTTTCTTTTAATTTTTTTTTCATTTAAATTTAGGATTCATTTGATCAAAGACAAAGATGACATAGATGATTATTTGGCGAAGAATATCAAAGGGCTGTCAAAACAAGAAGCTGCTGCGTAAGTTGGCTTTTTTGAGGCATTTTAACACCCATAAGTTTATTGTTTCCTTTGTTTCTAGTCATCATCATAATTTAAATTTAAAGTTCCCTAGGCCCTACCCTTTTTAGTGGAACTTGGCATTTAAAAATTGAAGTTGATATTAAATAGTGATGGTTCATTTCTCCTGATCTTAAATATATCAAAGCATTTAACTCCTTGGTTTTACTAATTTGTATATTTACCAAAGTATTATATCACATTTGTAACGTTATTGTTAAGATTGTGTCAGTAATTACATTTGAAATTGTGCTGCCTTTTTTTTTCACTTTTTGCTATTTTTTTTTAATAAGTCTCTGTGAATATCTCCTCTGGGGTGGAAGCTTAGTATACCGACATACACATTCTTGTAATTTTGAATTATTATTTAGCCAAGCCCAAGTGCCGACTTCTGCAGTAAAGCATTTAATACACCATTAGTTATTTAAAAACCCAATGAATGAAAGAAATTTAGATAACTTTTGATTTCTTACAGCTGAGGTATTTACATTTAGAAGTTACAAGAGACTGTGACTGACTTACTCTTTTGGAGTCTTTTAACAGATCTGGGGTTCAGCACCATCAAAATTAATGACAGAATTCTAACAAATCTGAATTGCTGGTTTCTTAAGTGAGATGATTTATTTATTTCAATATTTAAATAATAAAAAGATGCATATACCAGGGCTCTAGGCACCTTAACAATTAATATTGCAAGATCACCCTTGCAGCGTAAAAACATTCTATCAATCAGACAGCAATTCGACTGGCTAGTTTCTTGCAAGATATGCTTCTTATCTTCTTCCTAGCCTAAGAATGTACCTGCAACCCTTCCCTAAAAACTTTGAAATGAAAATCTAGAAAATTACCAAATTTGAGTTGAGGGGTAGTAACTTTGACAGCGTCCTAAACCCATCCCAGCCAGCAGACACACTTTCCTTACTTATGATGCATGTCTGATTCGCCTTTATTTTTACACTGATAACATGATAAAGCTAATAAGTGTTCTGACTGTCAGTACAAAGGTTATAATGTATCTGATCTGATGATCTAGGAGAACAATCTGTTTAAAGCAAACTCATCCCCAACTTCTTTTCTTTTAATTAAGACTATGTTCAAAGATGATGGACTAAAAACTAGTTCAATGATGGGATTGGGCAGGACCTTCTCAATATGTCATCCTAGGGTTTGCAAGGTTCAATTTGTTCCTCTGTTTCTGTGGGAGAGACTCTGTTACCATGGTCAGAGTCTGTGGGAGAGAGCAGCCTGACAGTGACAGGAATGTGAGTTAGGTGAGGCAGTGGGAAGTGCCATGTTACTGCTCGGTGAGTACATGTGGTTGATGCGGGACAGTTACCTTTGATCATGCTGTCATACTAATCATGCTAGGTGTCATAGCTGGTTTAAATATTCCCAGATTAAAGACAAGGAAACTAAGATTGGTTCGTGACTTGGTGACAATCTGCATGAGCTGGACCAATGTAAGGAACAGATCCTTCCCGAGCAAATGCTGTGTTGACAGAGGTCCTGTCCCCTGGATTAAGGGTAGCGTGGTTGCTCTGTGAGGGGGGAAGAAGTATCAGACCTCAGGGAGCAAGCACAGAAATAAGTACATTCACTTATTGTCGCCCTAGTTCCATACCAGTTGTGCAGTGCTACTGTAGTTATTACACTGCAATTGTTGCAGACTGACTTGCTTTCCCAGTGAGCTGTTAGTCT